GATAAGACTGCCCAAAGCACAAGTACATACTGTGACAGTTCTATATTATTGATCAAGTTGGAGCACAAAAAACCAGGTTGCTAGAATTTATGGATCTGGATGATGGTAACATGTTAACCAGTCCTTTGCAGTTCAGATATATGTATTTCACTTCCTCAGTAAATTACTCATCTAGAAATACAATTTAATGGAATGAGAACATGTGTTGAAAATCATTTATTGAAAGTCTATATAGTAAATTCAGGTTAACTACTAGAATAATTTTAGAGAAATTGCATAGTTCATATGCCAGCCACTTACATTAATACCTTACATATCTCTAAAACACACTTTCACATTGCTATTAACAACTCCAGGTTTTATTTGAATTCCACTAACTTGCTACTAACACTTAATTCAGGATCCAATACAGGATACTATATTGCCTAATTTATGTCTCCCAATTCTCGTTTGATTTCTCATTCTTGTTTTTCATGGTCTTTCTTGACAATTGAATATTAACTAGGTATGCTGTAGATTGACATTCATTTAGAGATTATTTCCATGATTTGACTGGTGTTATGAAGAGGAGTGAAGAGTATCCTTACTGCATTGTAGCCACATGACATTACTGGTGATGTTAACCATTGCTTGGTTAAGATAGTGCTTGTCAACTTTCTGCATTGTAACAGTACTGTTACTCTCCATAGTGTTTTTGGAAGTAAATTAGAAAGTCTAACATGCCAGAAGGGAAGAGGAGTGAATACTCCACTTCCTGGAAGTGGGGTAGTGTCTTAAATGGGTTTGTCGTCCACTTACTCAGTCATATCAGTATGGACTTAACATATATTTAGTTTATAATTCACTATAATTTGTTGCTCATAATTGTTCCAGTTCAGTGTCTCCATTCTTTTGTTTATTGTACACTTTAACTCTGGTAGTACTAGATGCTCTAAGTTCATCTTGTATTTCTGCCAAAGTTAGCCATTTCTTCAAGGAGCACTGGTATTAGTGGAGAAAGGTATTTAGAAATCAAGACTCAAGTACCGGGCTATATAAAATTTTAATTTCATATATGAAAAAATGGAGTTCATTTGAGAAATGAATTATGCGTTTAATAAACGGAACTAGCTATCCATATGATAATCCATCAAAAATAGTCTGTCTTGACAGAAAGTGAAAAATTTTAAGTGTCTTGTAGTTTTAAATCAGTATTAAAGGAAAATAAAATTTTTTATTAAAAATACAAACATTAGGCCCTCCCTGGTGGTGCAGCGGGTTAAAGCACAGCACTAAGAAGCTAAAGCCACTTCCGCATGAGTTCGATTCCCGCCTGCCGCCTGCCCCGGAGGAGACCACATGGCGAGCCAGACCTCTCCTGACCTGCCCGCTGCTCCCCTCAGCAGTGTACTTCGTCAATCTGCCTGTTCTGCTCCCCACTCTGTCTCTGGTGAAGCCTCTCACCACCCCTGAGCCTCTGGCCTGTACCCCAGTTCTGTATGAATAAATAAATAAATCTTAAAAAAAAAAAGAAAAGAAAAAAAAAAATACAAACATTAAAGCAAACATATTCCAAAATGTAACTTGGATATAGGAATTATGAAAAGAGACCTTCATAACTTTCTTGAACAGAAATCCCTAAACTCAAAAGAGAAGATAAACGTTTTTCTCAACAATGTTTTTTAACTTATAGTACTAAATAAATAGGACCCAGAAAGAAAATGCAAGTAGAGAAATGAGAGGTGATATCTATCCAAAGAGCTAGAAATTAAGATCATAATTTTGTAATTTAGATTAAAAAAAAAGAGTCCTGCACTGAAATATAATCTACATAAGTATAAAGACTGGTTCTTTTATGCACCTAACAGTACAGTGTCAGACATAAGAGCAGGTGCTCAGTAACTATTTCTTGTGTGAATGAATGACTTTAAAATATGCTGAAATTAGTAATTGACTTCCTGGAGCAAGAATTGCAGATATTTTCCATCATTAGTCTGGTATTCAAGGATCTGGTTAGCTGAAAATTTTTTTATACGTATCTTAAATGTTTTATAAGTAAATACTAAAATCAAGCCTGATCTATGTTGTAGAATTTAAAATGTAAGATGAAGGAGGCATAAAATTAATTTTTTAGGCTAAATTTCCTAGGGCAGGATTTCAGTTAAAATTATATAGTGGGTAAATTATATACCATAAAAACGAGTTGAAATGTGTGATCTTTCAATTACCTGCACTCAATCTTTAATACTCCACCAATCTATTGGTTAACCAGATATGCCAGTTTCTGCACTCATTAAGAAACAAGATAACTATAGGTATGTATTATTGAGTAAACCTGTAAGATAAAAAAGGTAAGTAAATTATGTAAAAGTTTTAAAATTGTTTTAAAACTAAGCAAGCCATTATCATTTAGAATAGCTCTAATGTAGTGTACCGTCTTCATCACTAGAGGGAGCTGGCGTTTCAAACAACACAATTCAGTGTGTTTCTGTTTCAACACCAAAATGCTAGCCACAATTCAGCTGCCAGCATCTTTCTGTGACTCCTCAGGTCCCACACACCACTTGTTTACAAAGTGAATAACTATAAAACAGATGACTTAGAATAGCATGAAGCAAAATAGTAAAAAGAGAAGAGTGTTTTACAAAAGACCTGAAATGCAATTAATTCAGTGCATTGGTATGGAGGTTAAGTAGAAGAGGCTGACATTAATTTTCACGTTCTGCACGTCCTGACATATTTTATTCTTCCATAGTTCAATTGACTATAGCATACAATGCAGCGAATTCCAATATTCATAAATACAAATGAGAATTTGGGGATGTAACTGGAGAAATTAACTGCTTTCTTTGCTGTATGACTTAAGAAATGGTGTTTCTTTAAAATACAATTTAAGAATTTTGCTGAAAAATTAAATTTGATAAGTATTTTCATACAAATACTTTCAGTAAAGCTTAGCTCATGTTTCAAATGACATTTTAGGCAAATATTTTCCATTTATGGTTTAATTCAAAACGTGTTTGGAAAATATTTTTAAAAACCACAACTCCTTTGTAGCTATTGTTCTTATTAGAAACATCACATTTTAAACAAAATTTCAAAAGAAAAATTTTTTACAAAGAATATCACATTAGTTATGGCTAATGCTTATTGGTAAAATGTAGTTTAAATTGCATTTTTGCATACTCCTTTAAAAACTTTGGTGGCAGCAAAGAAGAATTAAGCCATAGCACTACAAGCTAACAGTAGCCGCTTTAGTGGATGTTCCATCTCCAGCCATGGAGGTGACCACATGGCGTGGCAGACCTCTCCTGACCCGCCCGCTGCTCCCCTCAACAGTGTACTTTCTCAGTTTGCCTGTTCTACTCCCCACTCTGACTCTGGTGAATCCTCCCTCACATACCCCACTCACATCTGTGACCTACACCCCAGTTCTGTATGCATAAATAAATTTTTAAAAAAATATATATATAACCATATAATATTTTTTCAAGCTCTCAAAAAGTACAGGACAACAGCAAAGAAAAAAATCCCAGGAGAATGGAGACATTTCTCACCTACTACTCATGTACATTCAAAAAGGATATCACCTAAGCTAAGAAAGGCAAGGAAATTAATCAGACTTGCTCGTAAAGTCAATCTGAAGTCTATAATGGTCTTCTAGTGCTATATGATTAATTTCTTAAATATGAGAAGTAGGTCTGTAAGTAATTTTTAAAACCTTATTTTCTGTACAATGTGAAAAGGCAGGAAAACCAGGCCCTCTATAGATTTGGGAGTAGCTGTTCTTGCCCTTGATTTTCACCTACTGAAAGTGGTTATGATATCTATATAAAGTACACTGTAGTTCAAACTAAAAGATAAGTGCTGTGAGACCTTGAACATACCCTTTACTTCATGGCATCTCAGTTACCTCACCATAAAAGGAGAGGGCTAACAGCAACACCACCATGAAGAACTCTGATAGAATGGAGAAGTACTTGTAAAGAAGCCAAACATCAGCTTATAAAAAATGTACTACGCTATCATGCCTGTCTTCATTAAATTTCTGCTATTTCAAGGCAAAATTTCCACTTGGTTTAAGTTATTCATAACATCTAAAAAGAGGTTTTAGTCCTGATTGTATGAGAAGGAGCAATGGGTGGAGCAGGGTTGGACACTGTAAGAGCTTGTTTCTCTCCTGCTCTCTCACTCCAACTCCCACAGGCTACCAGCAGTCGGTTTCATGATACAGATATTCAAGTGACTGCCACATGCCCTAGCTTTTTCCTAAGGGAGAGGGTAGAATTTAGGTAAGGGGGTGGTAGTGAGATTTCTTCATCTTTAAATTCGACTATCTTTTTATTTCGGGTTCTTGTACCTGTTTCTCTATGCCTGAGATACTGTTAGGTTATAGCTCCAGTCTAGTTTGGGACAGAAAAGCATGGCCTGCTCATGATAATTCTAAAGTCTTGAAGCAGAAAGAGAAAAAAAGTTTATGTTCAGCTATGTAAGAAGTGTGTTTTGCCTAGATAGCTCAAGCTTAGGTAAATTACACTTGCCAGAGTTAAAAAGAGCCTCAGGAAGAGGTTCCTGGTCAAGCTGTGGATGGCAAAGGAGAAGGGTGGGCTCCGTTGTCTTGGCAGTTGAACTGGGCTCAGGAGGAACTGAGGGAGATCTTTTAGCCTCCTTTCACCCCCAAGGCAGAGGATTGGAGGGGAGGCAAGCAGGAAGCCCCTACTGGGCAAACTGTTGTTCCTGGTGCTGGATCATTTCGTGCGGTATCTTGATGGTTTTCCCAGCCAGGGCAGCAGCCAGGCTGCAGCCCTGAGGCGCTCAGCTGCTTCTGCTTCCTCCTCCCACTGCACTTACTCCCACGCCCACTAGCGCCCCGCCCCTCTCGTCTTATAGAGGGGGCCCGGCACCTCCGTGTCTGCGGAGCTAGAAGCTTCCCAGAGCTGCCTGCGTGGTCTGAAAGCCCACGCGCCGCGGCGCCGCGGCCCGAGTGGCCAGGTGAGGCGGTGGCTGTGCCCCGCAACATGGAGGGCAGCCCAGCCCCAGCCCCAATCCCAGCCCCAGCCCCAGCCCCAGCCCTAACCCGGGTTGCCAACAACCTACGCCGCAGTCCGTTCCCAGTCTACCGGCTCCCTCCGCTGCTCTCTGGGCGCCATCCCCTGCTCACCTCGAAGCCAACATGAAGGAAACCCGGGGCGACAGCGGGAGCGCCCCTTTCTGCACCCGCCTCAACCACTCCTACCCCGGCTTGTGGGGTCCCGAGCAGTCCGCAGAGGCGCGGGACAACCTCACGCGTACGGTAGGGCCGGGTGAGGACTGCGGCTCGGTGTCCGTAGTCTTCCCAATCACCATGCTGATCACTGGTTTCGTGGGTAACGCGCTGGCCATGCTGCTGGTGTCGCGGAGCTACAGGCGCCGGGAGAGTAAGCGCAAGAAGTCGTTCCTGCTATGCATCGGCTGGCTAGCTCTCACGGACCTGGTCGGACAGCTGCTCACCAGCCCGGTAGTCATCTTCGTGTACCTGTCCAATAAGCGCTGGGAACAGCTCGACCCGTCGGGGAGACTGTGCACCTTCTTCGGTCTGACAATGACTGTCTTTGGGCTTTCCTCGCTCTTCATCGCTAGCGCCATGGCCGTCGAGAGGGCGCTGGCCATCCGGGCGCCGCACTGGTATGCGAGCCACATGAAGACGCGCGCCACCCGCGCGGTGCTGCTCGGCGTGTGGCTGGCGGTGCTCACCTTCGCCCTGTTACCCGTTCTAGGCGTGGGTCAATACACCATCCAATGGCCCGGGACGTGGTGCTTCATCAGCACCGGCGGCGGGGGTAACGGAACTAGCTCTCCCCACAACTGGGGCAACCTTTTCTTCGCCTCCACCTTTGCCTTCTTGGGGCTTTCAGCTCTGGTGGTCACGTTTGCTTGCAACCTGGCGACTATTAAGGCCCTGGTTTCCCGCTGCCGAGCCAAGGCCACGTCATCACAGTCCAGCGCCCAGTGGGGCCGGATCACGACTGAGACGGCCATCCAACTCATGGGAATCATGTGCGTGCTGTCGGTCTGCTGGTCACCGTTGCTGGTAGGTAGTTCCAGGGGCTCAGGAGGGCTGGATGGGGGTGTGGCCGCTGAGAGAAGATTCACAGAGGCAGCCCCTGTAGGAGTGTGATTGCAAACACAGAGCATTAAGCAGGCCCACTGTGCTGGCTCTTCCTTATTTGCCCTGTAAGAATTGAGTTCCTCAGTTACCTGCTGAGCACATTCCAGGTGCTAGGCATTGCATCAGCCTCTGGCTATGCACACAGGTGATGAAAGGGCTGCTCCCATTCTAACTGCAAAGATCAGGCTAATGTCCAGGTATCATTTCAGCATGTGTGTAGATATACCTCCTAGGTGTATTGGAAACAATGGTGAGGACAACTGTAACTTGATGTCGGAGTATTTCTCCTTATTGCAAATAGTTCTTCCATGTCAGGGTCATTTTAAGCCTGCAAAAGTATCCAATGGCCACAGTTGGTAGACATGACCTTCTTGAAGCTTTTGAGCCATTGCACACTCTCCAGGTCCACCTAGTATAGTACTAACCTTCCTTTCAGGTTCACTGTATTGGAGTTAGATTGAAGACACACCTTGCAGCTGCAGCCAGCCTCAATCATTGGAAATAGTGTGTTGGGCTCTATAAAGCTGTTGTACCAAAAATCAGTCAGTGCTACCACCAGTTGGTAACTACCTGTGAGCAACCTTTGCTTGCCCTGTGGTCATCAGGCAGGCTTGGAATAGGAGGATTGCTTTTCCCAGATCTGCGCAGGGGCATCAGCCAGGGAACAAAAGATACTCACATTTCCACCTTGTCTAACACCCAGCTCCTATACTGTATTTCAAGGTGTTCCTCTGTTGTATTTGTAGCTAGAGATTTCTGTGGGTAAGTGCAGCTTATTAATTCCTGATGAATAGATGCTTATTTAGGTCTCAAGCAACCAAAACAGTTTGCTGCAACAATTTTTTTTCCCCTTTCTGCAACAGAACAGTGTTACAGAAAGAGTCAGTTGGTCCCTGTCATAGGTATAACCCATTATATGGTCAGATCTGACAATGATTAGATGATTAGGGAAAACTTTTGAAGCCAATACTCTTTTCAGGAACCATTCAAATATAGTCTTATTCTTAATTGTAGGAAAATATAACATAACATATGTCATGTTAGCTATTTTTAAGTGTACCATTCAGTGGTTTAAAGCACATTATCATTGATGTGTTCCAGAGATAGTTTTAAATTCCTTTTACTTTAAAATAGAACTTTAGTTCTATTTACCTCACCCCCCTCACCTACATTTGACAAGGCAATCATGCCAGAACACCTGTATTTCACTAGTGTATTGTATTTGTAGCATAAGTCATGGCTTCCAGTCAGTAATGGCTGGTGACCAGGAGAGTTATATTGTGATCCAGCCACTCAAAAGTCACTGTTTGGTCACAGCTCTGTATTCTAAAGAGTTCTAACTCTGGCTCTCGTCATCACATGGCTTATCAAACCTGCACTAATTTGTTGAGCAGTAGGGTAGGTAAGTGATCAGACAAGGGTAGACAAATAGTTCTAATTAGTAAACACTACTAAACATGATCAGTCACAAACATTAATGACAAGTAGTATCACTTTTTACCATGGTCATTTTAATCATACCCTTTGGTTTACTCTAGCATATATTTTATATCAGAAAAAATATAATTAGGTTGCATATATAAAATGCTTACTCACACAGGAACACAGATTTATAGTTTTAAGTAGGAGAGAAACTATGTAATATGTTGATATTTCAGAACTTTGTAATACTATGAGTCTTAGGAAGAATTTAGATCATTTCTGAAAATGTCATGTAGAATGTAAATGAAATGTACATTGTAATGTAAAATGGCCAAACTTATTCTCTTAAAAAAGACTGCATTTGGAATAGTCCTTTTAAATTTCAATTAATATCTGAATTCAGGTAATATTTATTGGTTTGCAGCACTTTAACAGTTCACATGAAACACATTGAACATAAAGTAAATTCAATGTGATCAAATAGAAGAAATGCATGATTTCTAAAATAGGTACTTTTTAAACTAAAGGAAATGGTTCTATCTTGTTTTGTACACCACTGTAATTAAATCTGCAAATATCAGAAGGATCTACAGTACAATGCTGGGATTATTTCAAAGGAAAGAAACTGGCAAAACTGCTTTCTTAAGTTAGGGACTTTAAAGAATGAAAACACTAGAACATAGTGAATTGAACTTTCGTGTACTGCTAACAGTTAGAGATTTTTTTTTACATTTTATAGATTACCTACTAGCTGTTGTTGACTTGGGCAAGGGGACTAATCTAATTGACCAAATACCTTACTTAAAAGGACCCTGAAAAGTCATGGCAACATTAAAAATATTAAATGGTTACAACTGGGAAGAGCTTCCACAAGAAAATAACATCCCAATTGCTATAGGCTCCCACTACAAAAATATTTAAATAGAGATTTTTCTATGGTGCAAATAAAACTTTCTTTTTATTTCAAGGAATTTTACAAAAATACAACACATAATGTGAAATTAAATGATAATGTAGTGGAAAACAATGTCACAGACAATCTATAGGTCTTAGTCATTAGTCATTCTTGATGTGAGGCATCAGATTCTACTGGAATCAGCCAGTTAATCTAGCAATGCAATGTTTGACTTTTTTTTAATTGTTATTTATGAGCTACCTTCACCAAAAAGTGCATTTAATTTTCAGAACATTCAAGTAGGTATTCAGCAAGAATAACCTTAGGGTGTTACTGAGAGAAAGCCATGAGTTCATTTTGGACTTTTGTAAACTTGGCACTCCCCAAACAGTATTATAGTGTTCTTAAAAATAGTAAATATAATAATTGAAAAGTGCAGTATGGGAAACAAAGTTCTTCATCTACAACTTTGAAACTAGATAAAACCAGCCTAAGACACTTTTGCTTTTACCCCCAACCAGTGAGTTCCTGCTTTATCTCTACAAATGCAAACTGGGAGGCTTCAGCTCAAGATATTTCACAGTACAGGTGTGATTCATTTTAATTTAAAGAATCACTGAGATATTTTGACAAGTCAAATTTGCCTTACCTATACTACATGTAGCAAATATATGTGATAATTTTTTATAGACATACAATAATGCTGTTTTATAACAGAGTATTATTCAATGGAAAAGAGTATTATCAATGACTAATCTTCTCTACCTATTCTTTCTGTAATGTTTTTGGCATTTTACTACATTTAGGAACTATTGAAGGTTTTCAATAACTTATAGATTTATTAAAATTTGGTCAAAGAGGCCCTCCCTGGTGGCACAGCAGGTTAAAGCACAGCACTAAGAAGCTAAAGCCACCTCCTCATGAGTTCTATCCCCGCCTGCCCTGGAGGTGACCCACATTGGCACGGCAGACCTCTCCTGACCTGCCCGCTGCTCCCCTCAGCAGTGTACTTTATCAGCCAGCCTGTTCTTCTCCCCACTCTGTCTCTGGTGAATCCTCTCACCGCCCCTGCACCTCTGGTCTATACCCCAGTTCTGTATACACAAATAAATACATCTTAAAAAAAAAAAAGTTTGGTCAAAGAATTATACACTGTGCAGAGAAGCATAATTCCCCCATTAATAAGTGAAACAGAGAACAATACAAGAGAAGATGCAATTAATACTTCTGGTGATGGGAAGAAATCCCATCTGAATTTGCCAAAATAAGCTTCCTATGAGAGGTGGATGGCAGGGGCCCTCCCTGGTGGTGCAGCTGGTTGAAGTGTAACACTACATACGAAGGTACTGTAGCCACTTCAGCATGAGTTTGATCTCCAGCCAGGGAGGTGACCCACATGGTACAGCAGACCTCTCCTGTCTCACCTGCTGCTCCCCTCAGTAGTGTACTTTGTCAGTTTGCCTGATCTGCTCCCACCTGTCTCTGGTGAATCCTCTCAACACATCTATACCCCAGTTCTATAGGCATAAATAAATAATTTTTTTTTAAAAAGAGGTGGATGGGCCCTCCCTGGTGGTGTAGCGGGTTAAAGCACTGCACTAAGAAGCTTGAGCCACTTCTGCATGAGTTCAATTCCCACCTGCCCTGGAGGAGATCCACATGGCGTGGCAGACCTCTCCTGACCCGCCCGCTGCTGCCCTCAGCAGTGTACTTCCTCAGTCTGCCTGTTCTGCTCCCGCTCTGTCTCTGGCGAATCCTCTCACCCTACGCATCTCTGGCCTGTACCCCAGTTCTGTATGAATAAATAAATAAATCTTAAAAAAAAAAAAAGAGAGAAAAAAAAAAAGAGGTGGATGACATTCCTTAACCTAGAGACTGACAGTGAGAGTGCCCAGGTTCCAAGCCCATGAGAACAGAGCATGTACCAGGAAATGACCCAGGAAAAATGGTTTTGAAAATGTTCATGGGGCCAGATTGGGGATGTAAGATGAATGTAGGATGTGGACTGCATTCTTTTGCCAATAAGCAGTAGAACCTCTATTTGGGTTTTCTTAGTGGGGAAGAGAGTTTCAAAAAGGTTGGCATGACTCTGTGTGTAGATATTTTGGGGATGGAAAATTGAGATCCCTTGTGACTTCCTATTGCAGGTCCTTTTAGCCATAGGGTAAAGAGTAGAAAGAGGTGAAGCAGAGAAGAGAAGGTAAGAGAGGACTAATGCTATTAGAGAGGCTGATGATTGAGTTAAAAAGTTTCTTACACATATACTTTGCCCTATTAACTGTGGTAAATATTTTCTCGTACATTACCTCATTTAATTGCATCTTGTAAAGATGCCATCACTACTAACATTCTTCAGCTTTATACAGAAACTCAAGTATAAAGAATGTTAGCATCAGATTTCTTATTCAAGATATATAAGTTTGGGTTTACTTTTAGTATTTTTTGTTGTTTATTTGTTTGATTAGCTTTCATGGAGGCCAGGAATTCTCATTTTAATAGCCTTTCTGTGCATGTTATCTGTACAGTGTGGACGTAAAACTGATACACAAGACCATTCCATTTTTAGTTTCTCTTATGTGGAAGAATCAAGCATCAATAAAACAGA